GGAACCAGTCTGTTGTTCCATGTCCAGTTCTAACTGTTGCTTCCTGACCTGCATACAGGTTTCTCAAGAGGCAGGTCAGGTGGTCTGGTATTCCCATCTCTTTCAGAATTTTCCACAGTTTATTGTGATCCACACAGTCGAAGGCTTTGGCATAGTCAATAAAGCAGAAATAGATGTTTTTCTGGAACTCTCTTGCTTTTTCGATGATCCAGCGGATATTGGCAATTTGATCTCTGGTTCCTCTGCCTTTTCTAAAACCAGCTTGAATATCTGAAAGTTCTCAGTTCACGTCTTGCTGAAGACTGGCTTGGAGAATTTTGAGCAATTTTGGTAATTAGAATGATCCAAACATCCTGCCCTCAAAATCTGGCTTATCTTCATTTTCTACCTATCTACAATGGTCTTTTAATAAATAAGTAATGGTTGACAATACACTTATGTAAAACAAGAACTAAGGGAAGTTTATTGGGTGTCATAGAAAATATTTGAATGAGCAATTTTAGATTATGAGTCTTGTTGAATTTCAAAGCATTAAGAAGACTGCTTTAAGGAGCCCAGGAATCTCCTTTGTCAGAACAGGAATCTCCTTTGTCAGAACTGTAGGGTACTAAGATATCATTCGACTCCCTTAGGGCTCAGCTGGTAAAGAATCTACCTGCAATGCAGGAGACTTGGGTTCAATTTCTGGCTTGGGAAGATCCCCTGGAGAAGGGAAACGCTACCCACTCCAGTATTCTGGCCTGGAGAATTCCAAGTTATGAGCACTGTATTGTGTTTTCAGGATGCAGCAGGCTTCTATCTTACACAACCTCAGGGATGCTCTATTTGCTCTGTGATATGTGGGGCCTCTTCATTACTCAGGACCTATATTCTGATTGGAAATCCTTGGTAAAATGGTTAGTGAAAAGCATCCAAGAATAAAATGAATGCATTAGGTCAGCCTATTTACTCTCAGGTTTAACATTTTAAATGGTTTCTTCTTATTTTCATCCAATACGGAAATCATAAAAAATACTTGTGGAAAGCATTAAGCAATCCCCTAAAAATAATTTGAAAACTTCTTGATGTCAACCTGTTAGTTAACTCTTTCCTCACATTATTCATTCACACACACAAAAAAAATCATCTAAAGCCAGATCATTCTGGGGCCTGTTAGTACACTGAGAAAAAAAAAAATTGTAGAAACATGTTTATATTTGTTTACCTCAAAAACAGAATCTGAACCACAGCCATAGGTGGAACATGGCCCAAGTACTCCCATCATATCTTCTTTCTTCTCATTTTGGAGGCTGTACACTGCCCTGCACAGGTTCCAGTGTTCGGCTACAAAGCCAATGGTGACGCCAGGAGGACACTGAACCTCCATCTGCCAAATGAAGCAGGGACAGAGGTGGGTGAAGATGCCATATTTATACACCCACATACACACACACACACACACACACACACACACACACACACACAATACATGTGTTCTTAATTTTCTCCAGAACTAGGGAAACTATCATTGGTGTGGAGTCTTCCATTTTCCCTGGGTTATATCTTAGGGTAGTATGTCAGAGAACAGCCTTGAGAGATGAGGCCATGTTCCCTTCAGGACAAATTACTTCTAGTTATAAAATGGTCAGTTCTCTAGGCTCTGTGTCCCTCAGCTGTATATGGAGCATCTACTTGGGATCCTCTGAGTCATCTCTGTAGAATGTGGGGAGGAGGCAACCTATGCACATGTGCTGGAGCTCATGCTGCTTGGTGACGGTGGTTTGGTTGCTAGGTCCTATCCGACTCTTTGCAACCCTATGCACAATAGCCTGCCAGACTCCTCTGTCTGTGGGATTTTCCAGATGAAAATACTGGATTGTGTTGCTGATCCTTCCTGGGGATCTTCCCAATCCAGGGATCAACCATGCATTTCCTGCATTGGCAGGTGGATTCTTTACCATCTGAGGCACCAGAGAAGTCCCTCATGCTGCTTACTGGGCTATAATAAAGTTCTTTGTCCCTGACCTAGGTGTCCATGTCTTGTGGCACAATCCACAAAAAAGTAACATGCTAGCTTCTCAGATTGACAACTCAGACATGACAATTATAATAGAAAACTTAAGGGAAAGAGGCATTCTGAAAATTAAATGCTGTGAAGACAATGTGCATACAAGTATCAGATGAGGTGGAGATTCATCTCAAATATTACAGTTGTTACAAAGACAATAGTGACAGAGGAGTAAGCTATCTGACAATTGCTAATATTCACTGAGCACTACACTATTTGCCAGGTACTGTGCTAACACAGGACTTCCCTGTGGCTCAGTGGTAAAGACTCTGCCTGCAATGCATGAGCTGCAGAAGACACAGGTTCAATCCCTGGGTCAAGAATATCCCCTTGAGGAGAGCATGGTAACCCACTCCAGTATTCTTGCCTGGAGAATCCCATGGACAGAGGAGCCTGGCAGGCTACAGTCCAGGGGGTTGCAAAGAGTTGGACACAACTGAAGTGACTAAGCCCACACATACATGGTAACACAGCTGACATTTATTTACTACATAATACTCAAAATAATCATCCTATGAGATAGTACTATTAATATATCCATTTTTTAGGTGAATAAATCAAGACACAGAAAGGGCTATAAGTTAATTCTATTGCAAAGGCTGGTACTTAACATATAATTAAAATCTCAATAAATCTAAGGGATATTGTTCTGCCCAGGTCATGTATTAAGAACACTGAGGCTCAAACAGGCTAAATCAGGCATCCCCAATCCCCAGACCACGGACTGGTACCAGTCTGTTGCCTGTTAGGAATGGGCCACATGGCAGGAAGTGAGTGGCCGGCATAACTGTATTTACAGCTGCTTGCTTCCTGTCACTTGCATTACTGCCTGAGCTCCGCCTCCTGTCAGATCAGTGGTGGCACCAGGTTCTCAGAGAAGCATGAATGGTACTGTGAATTGCGCACACTAGGGAACTAAGGTTGTGAACTCCTTATGAGAATTATCTCCAAACCATCCCCCCACCCCAGGTCATGGAAAAACTCTCCTCCATGAAACTGGTCCCTGGTACCAAAATGTTTGGGGAACACTGGGTTAAGTAAATTGCCCAGTTTTAAGTCAGTGGCATATCTGAAATTCAAATTCTCTTGGATCACTCTCTAAAACTGCTTTTCTTTTCCTTGCTGTAAACAATTTTCCAAGGGTAGTGTGGATTATAGAAGAACAACCAAAATGTAACTTGACACATTTGCTTTCTAGTTCCACCATCTTCCAAATGTAACACCATCCTCCAAAAAAATTTTTTTGTACCACCACCAAAAAAATTATTTTTTTGAGTCACCCTTTCTTTATCTGTAACAAGGTATAGATATAATGGGTAGAGTAAAAGTATCCGAAGTTCCTTCTGATTTTAAAAGTGTGTCTATATTTAGTGTGAACTTATTTAGGGATATATAGGAACATTTAGATAAATGAGTTGTAGGTAATGGCCTTTCCGCTTGCCAATGCAGGAAGGAGATGTAAGAGAGAAGGGTTTGAGCCCTGGGTTAAGAAGTTCCCCTGGAGGAGGGCATGGAAACCCGCTCCAGTATTATAGCCTGGAGAATCCCACGGATAGAGGAGCCTGCTAGGCTATAGTCCATGGAATTGCTAATTTCTAGTTCAATAGATACAGCTGATAGAATTTCAAACACTGACTGCATGCGTGTTGTCACTTCAGTAGTAAATAACCTTAATTTGTGCTTGATCCCCCTAATTAGCACCCAAAGACATGAACCCACTAGAAAACTGCCTTGGTGATTCTCCATAGGTAGGATTATTTGGCATTTGGCTTCCTTCCTCCCCACTAGCTTCCATTCTGCTTTGCTATGAAAGTCCCCTCCTGAGTGGCTTTGGAAGGAGCATAACTGCGCGGTGAAGAATTGAATCAGGAAAAAACAATGGGTGAAACCTCTGTCTCATCTGTCCTCTTACCTCTTGCCTGGTGGAGGGGCAACAGAAGCAGCAGCAGGTGCATCTGAAAGGTCTTTGCATTGTCATGACTTCCTGGCCCATACAGTCAGTGACTCGGAGCACGAAGGGCCTCAATGTCCGGTAAGCATTCCTGGTGTAGTCATCTGTGTCTTCAGTCACAAAGTAAACCATCTGGCCCATGTTGTTTTTAATATCATATCTATTATTAGTTTCAAAACCTGTTACCACTAAAAATGAGAGAGATTTATTATTTTAGAAGCAGTTAAAATGGGCCCCACAAAGTCTTTCTGTAGTATTTGATAGGAGTCTAAAACAAAATAGCTTTTTAAAAAATTCCTAATGAAAAATATGCAATGATTAGAAATCCAATAATATTCATCTGTCCTAAAAGTATATAAGTTATTTTGAAAATTTGAAACATTTCTTTTAAGAAGTTCAGTGTAAACTTTTTCACATAGAAACAAACACTGGAAATGATATATCTGGAGTATGTGAATTCAGAAAACTTTAATTATAAAACTATTTAAATGAAATTATCCACTGGACCATAAATGAATGAATCAGCTCATGAAATATGCTGAGATGATTAGGGTCATCACTAGTTGTAAATAAGAAAATCAACCAAGACAAGTTAAAGGCTCCATGTAGTGGTCAAGTGAATGAAATGAATTTCGTACAGTGAGGGTCAGGAAATTTGGGAGAACAGGCATTGTGTTTACCTTGATTTCTTCTTACTTCCACAGCATGGACTTAGAACTCAGCAGATGGAGACTATTTCCAGCTCCTCCACTGATTAGCTGACTAGGGTTCCCTTGGCTAACTCAACTAATCTCTTGGCTTCTTCTTTCCTTGTCCATGAAAAGTGAATACAGAGGAGTTGAGATGTATAAAGGATAGGAGATTCGACCAAATAAAATATAAGTCCTTTTGAATTCTTAGGTATGATGTGTAAATAGACAAAATTACACAAGTAAGTCCCTTTGTTACTTTCTTGAAGATAGGGCAATAGAAAATAGTCTTTTCTCTTTAAAACACTAAAAAATGATCAACATAAATAAGGAACTAGAAGTTGGATAATGCAAATTTTCACCTGATTCAAATATTACTGGACACTACAAAATCATACATACTTTCCAGAGGTTCAAAATGCTGAAGAACATGTATGTTGTCCAACTGTTGGGATAGAACAAAGCAATTAATTAGGAGAGAGAAATAACAGACATAAATTAAACCCATATTAGAAAAAAAACTAATGAGACAGAGGCTAGAACATATCCATGGATACAAAAACATTTTTTTGAAACTGAATGGAATCAAAAACATATGAAGTGAAATTAGCCTATCCGCACTTGACCAGTCCATCCTAAAGGAGATCAGTCCTGAGTGTTCATTGGAAGGACTGGTGTTGAAGCTGAAGCTCCAATACTTTGGCTGCCTGATGCAAAGAGCTGACTCATTTGAGAAGACCCTGATGCTGGGAAAGATTGAGGGCAGGAGGAGAAGGGGACGACAGAGGATATAAGATGGTTGGATGGCATCACCGACTCAATGGACATGGGTTTGGGTGGACTCCAGGAATTGGTGATGGACAGGGAGACCTGGCGTGCTGTAGTTCATGGGGTCACAAAGAGTCAGACATGATTGAGCGACTGAACTGAACTGAACTGACCTGATCAGGTGGTTATTAGCAGAGCTATCCAGAAAGAATACTTTCCTTCAGTTCCACCAAAAAATATTGAAACATTTGTTTAAAATATTATAAAATCATTTTCCTGCTCCAGTAACAGCATCTAGAATAAGCTGTGTTGACATCAATTGCTTCTAGCATCCATCATGTCACCTACAGACTGGAGATGTCAGAAAGTTCAGGACAGTTTAACATAGACCAGCCATAGAGAAGCCAATTTTCTCACTGGCTTAGAGAGTGTGAAGTAGGCAGGGTGGATCTTCAACAGGAATGTCCAGTCTTCCCAGGTACTTCTGAAAAAGGTTAATACACCAACTTCCATCCACTTGAGCTGCTGCTTCCCTAGTGCCTGCTTTAACAGGGGAGGACCCAAAGAGCTGGAAGTATGTGATTAGGAATAGGGCAAAGGAGAGGAAACGTTTAGGGATTTGATCCCTTGAAAATGGAGGTTGGGCATACCATCGGATTAACTTCTTCCTTAACTTAGGGGTTACTGTAAAGATAAACAGTTTGACTGGCCCATCATCTGTTATACTTAAGAACATTCTAGCAGAAAAGAAACACCCTTAAAGACAGACTAATCATATCTCTGTAATTTTAGATAACTTAGATAATTTTTGTTGCTGTTCAGTTGCTAAGTTGTGCCCAACTCTGCCACCCAATGGACTGAAGCATGCTAGGCTTCCCTGTCCTGCACTATCTCCCAGAGTTGGCTCAAACTCATGTCCATTGAATCAGTGATGCCATCCAACCATCTCATCCTCTGCCACCCCCACTTAGATCATCAGATCATTCCTAATCCTTGAGTCCCAAAACATTGCCTGAAATGCCATATTTCACCAACTACTTGTTGAATACTCTAATTAATGAACACCACATTAATGTTGTAATAAGCAAAATTTAAAATAATGTAAACGGACATGAAAGTTTTGTGGCATGATCAACTACAGGAGGGCATAGAGAGGATACAATCTTTATTTGACTAAAATATTTTCTTTATAAAAACTCAATCAGGTTAGAGTCTAAACATGTCTTATAAAATTATCAAAGGCAGCCACTCAGGGTTGCTTTACAATCCCTTTGAAAAAATCTAGGGGCTTTCTAATACCTATAACTAAAATGTAAAAGTATTCACTGTTTGGTAAGAGCTTCCACTGCTGAGCAAAATATGCTAAAGAAATGATGCCTATTAATGTGAATGGAGTTTATTGAGAAAGATGCTATAGTTTTAAGAAGCAGTACTAACCAAGTGTGAAGTCACCGGCCAATCCAGTGTCTAGAAATAATGTAAACCTGATACCCTGGATGTTAAAGTGTCAGGATAATCCTGATAATGATTCCTGTAATTAGCACATAAGATAGCAAAACACTAGGATAGGGACTTCCCTGGAGGTCCAGTGGTTAAGACTCCAAGCTTCCATTGCAGGGGGCATGGGTTCAGTCCCTAGTCAGGAAACTAAGATCCCACATGCCTTCAAGTGGTGCAAAGAAAAAATAAAAAAGAGAGAGAGAGAAAGAAAACTATATAAAAGAAAATGTCTGGATGCTTGGCTCTTTGTCTTCCATGCATATACATAAGGTGTTTCAAGTAATAATATCTGCACAGGTTATCATCCACTGGGTGGGTCCTTGTGCCAGAAATACCAGGCATATTATAAACTTTATCTCATTAAAAATTCTCCGAACAGCCCAGTTGGGTAGGTATCATTAGTACTATTTTATAGATGATGAAATTCAAACACCAAGAGGTTAGAAAAGTTACTAAAGGTAGAATGAGGAGGGCACAGAGCTAGAATAAAAAGCCAGGTTTGTCTTTTTATTATTATTATATTATTATAAACAAAACAAAACCTGTTTTGTTTCTTTTACATTTTTTAAACTAAAAACACTCCTAAAAGGGAAAACAGTATGCATAAAATATGTTCATTTAACTTCATTCAAAATAATAGAAGAAATTAAGAAAATTTTTAAATATTTGAATTAACAATATTAAAGCTATACATTTTTTAAAAAATGACATCAGATATTGGATTTCTAAGGAAATTTTCTGTTTTTAGAAAATATGAAAGTTTATGAAAAAATAAACTTTTTAAACCTGATTAACTTATAAGCATTTTATAAGCTTCCAAAATAATACAGGGGTTATTCTAGCACTTCACCTGAAGGCTCTGTATTTCATCAATATTTTTTCAAACAATAATTTAATAAAGTGTTTGGTTTATGTAAAATCCACATATTCCTGATCTAATGGTTTTATTTTCAAGATCAACACTATAACTTTGTAACAATGTTTTTCAGGGCACAGGATTAACAGTCAGTATTGCCATTTCCTTCTCCAATGTGTGAAAGTGAAAAGTGAAAGTGAAGTCGCTCAGTCGTGTCCGACTCTTAGTGACCCCATGGACCAGGCTCCTACCAGGCAGCCTACCAGGCTTCTCCATCCATGGGATTTTCCAGGCAAGAGTACTGGAGTGGGGTGCCATTGCCTTCTCCGATATAAAGTCAAAGAGAAACATGTCAATGCCAAGGAACATTTGGTTGACTATGTGGGGAGACAAGTATTAAATGAGCAAGTCCCTTGCTTTTAAGATTTTTAAACACTTGCTTTTTCTAAAGGTGAACATAATTTAATAGTTTGTAAGGTATTTACAATACTAGGTTTATCTTATTTTCTTTAAGCAACATTTTTGTTTCTGACATGGGTTTTAAAACAATACCATTCAGTACGCAAACATGTTGGCATATTGTTCCAGTTTCTGAAATAGCTGTTATGATCCTAAAATGTCCATAAACATGAAAATTAGGGAGTCTCTATGTTGTGAAAAGTGGTTCTCTGGAACTTGGCCTGAAACAATATCTTTGTTATTGCTGTTGTTGTTGTTTAGTTGCTAAGCTGTGTCTGACTCCTTGAGACCCCATGGACTGCAGTATGCCAAGCTCCCCTGTCCTCCACTGTCTCTCAGAGTTTGCTCAAATTCATGTCCATTGAGTTGGTGATGCTATATAACCATCTCATCCTCTGACATCCCCTTCTCCTTTTGCCTTCATCTTTCCCAGCATATGGACAATATTCTTGGATGGCTTCTATTTTTATTTACATTGTACGTTTTGGGAGGCAGCAGGAATGGCTGATGAAAACTATGGGTAGTGAAAAAAAGCAAAGGTACTGAGTGATTCACTCACTGTCCTCTGTTCTTTGTAACACTGCTTTTCTTGTTGTTCACCCTTTACTTCTAAACAAATGACAACCTAATTAACATTTTCATAGACTTTCTACTATCCCTATTGCTATTTTTTAAACTGCGTTCAACAGGACATTGTGAATGTCTTAAAATTCAGCACACACCCTTCAGGAGAGTCATATTTGTACCATCAAAAAAATCCCTATCTTCTTTTTTCCCCATTCCCATTCCTGAAATTATCATCACCATTCCTATAGTCACACAAATTAAACGTCTGTCATCACTGACCCATTACCTTCATGTACTCTATCCAGTCTCTTCTTCTTGGATCCCCAGTCATACTTTCTAAGAAAATAATATGGATTTGTGTGGAGTACCTGGGCAAGGCATTCCAGACCCGGAGGACAGTGTGGTATGGGAGTCGGCACGGGCATCCATATTACTGGAGCAGAAAGTTGTGGTGCAGGATATTTTCCAGGTTGGTACTGGATGGGGCAGATACTTCCAGTCTGCATGTACAAGGGGAAGGTACTGGGCTGATGTGGGCCGTAGTATCCCATAGGCAAGCCTCCTGGGTAGCCTGCAGGTGGAGGGATAGCCGGTCCAGGGGGCCCTGCATTCAAAAACAAATGGAAGAATTATACATTATGAATGCTACAATATGTGGTGGTGTCAGCATGACTTTTTACATGGAAATGATATGGATCACACAACCTCCACTTAAAAATAACAAGGTGTTCCATTTTATGAGTTTATAGAATGTACCGAAATGCACTAAGGGGATTTATACCTTAACTCATTTAATACTTTTAAATCTTATGAAGTAATTATTCCCATTTCATAGGCGTAGAAGTAAGGTTGAAATATCAAGTTAACATGTTAGCCTTTATGCATTAGTTTCCTTCTTTGGAGATGATAATAGTCCTACCTCACTGGGAGGTAGGAAGATTAGTACAAGGCCTGGCATACAGTTAGAATGGCAAATTTTTTGCTACTATGTTTATTGCTACTATTGTTTAAGGTCTTCTCTGGTAGCTCAGATGGTAAAGAATATGCCTGCAATGGGGGAGACCTGGGTTTGATCCCTGGGTTGGGAGGATCCCCTGGAGGAGGGCATGGCAGTCCACTACAGTATTCTTGCCTGGAGAATCCCCATGGACAAAGGGGCCTGGTGGGCTGTAGTCCATAGGGTCGCAAAGAGTCACACAACTGAGCAACTAAGCAAACACACATATTGTTTAAGGTCAGAAAGATAGTAAGTTCTACTTAACTTCAAAGGGGTTCTTTTAAAGACCATTGTCTAACTTCAGAATAGTTCATCACCCCCTAAAAAATCCTATACCAATTACCAATCATTCCCCACCTTTCTCCCAGGCCCTGGAAACTACTACCTCCACAGATTTGCCTAAACTGGACATTTCATATAAATAAAATCATGTAACACCTAGCCTTTGTACCTGGTTGCTTTTCATGGCATATTTTTGTTTCATCAATGTTGTAGCATGTATTAGCACTTCATTAATAAAAATAAGACGAAAACTATTATTAGAGGTAAAGGATATTTTATAATAACAGAAGTGGCACTCTGTCAAGAAGACATAACAATTATATATACCTAAAAACAGAGTTTCAAAATATATCAAGCAAAAACTGACAAATATAAAGTGAAATAGGCAATTCAGCAAGCAATATTTAGAGATTGCAATATCCCATTCACAGTAATGGGTAGAATACATGAACAGAAGACCAAAAAGGAAACAGAAGTGTGAACAATACTACAAATGAAACTAGACATAACAGAATGTATAGAACACTTCACCCAACAATAAACTCTATAACATTCTTCTCAAATGCACACAGAACCTTCTCAAAGACAGACCTACTGGCTGGGCCATAAAACAAGTCTCAATAAATTTAAGACATATGAAACCTAAAAAAATATATTCTATTACAATAGAGTAAAACCAGAGATCAATAATAACAGAAGGAAATTTGGGAAATCACAAATATGAGGAAATAAAATAATGTACTCCTAAATTATCAAAGGGATAAAAAAATCATGAGGGAAATTAGAAAATACTTTGAGATGAATAAAACAGAAACATAATATACCAAAGCTTATGGGATGTAGTTGAAACACTGCTTAGAGGGCGATTTATAGCTATAAACACCTACATTAAAAAAGAAATATCTTAGACTTCCCTGGTGGTCCAGTGGTTAAGAACAATGCAGGAGAAATGGGTTTGTTTTCTGCTCCAGGAAGATTACACATGACTTGGAGTAACTAAGCTCACAGGCCACAATCACTGAAGCCTGCAGGCCATAAAGCCTGTGCTCTGAGTTAAAAAAAGCTACCACAATGAGACGCCCACACACTACAAAAAGAACAGCCCCCGCTTGCTGCAACTAGAGAAAGCCCATGGAGAGCAACAAAGACCCTTGCAGCCAAAAAGAAAGAAAGAAAGAGACATCTCAAACCAGTAACCCAACTTTCCACCTTAGAAATAAACCAAACTCAAAGCCACCAGGAGGAAATGATAAAGATTGAAATAGAAGAGAGTGAAATGAAAAAATAAAGATAGACAAAATCAACAAAACCAAAAGTAGGTTCTTTTAAAAGATCAACATATTGAGAAATCAAGCCACACTGACCAAGGGAAAAAATAGACTTCAATTACTAAAGTGAGGAATGAAAATGGAGCCATTACTAAAACCTTACAGAACTAAAATATACCATAAGGAAATATGACCTTATGTATGCAAAAGCAGAATACTGCCCATGATTTCTGCACACAGCACAGCCAAGGGGGTGGGCAGACCACCTAAGCTATGCTTCCTGTCCAACCCACTGATTCAACCCTTCCCTCACTCCGTTTTAGGAACTACCTCACCTACTTGGCACCTGTTACTTGTTCTCACTCCCTCTTGCTGTAGCATGAGCCTCAGTAAGCCCTGTTTGAATTTCTCGCCTGGCGTCTTTTCAATTTCTATTGATTAAATAGTCCGAGGACCTAGGTCTATAACACTCACATAGGTAGACGCATGGTGGATGAAGGGATTAAAGAGGAGGAGCAAGGAACTGAGGCAGAGGAGATACCCTATGATGTAAGTGCTGACACATGAGACCCAGTTAGCACCTTCAAGACTGGGAAAGGTTTTAAGACAAACAGGCACAAAATGAGCAGCTGCACAGGGAAAGCTCAGTACCACAAGGGTAAAGGCCATGTGTGAAGGTTTAGCAAACAAAGCAGAAAGGAAGGTGGGAGGAAGGGATGACGATGAAAGACCTCTACTCTGTGCAAAGGACTTTATGCTGATAACATGCAAACTGGAGTGACCAGTTTTACATTTAGAGCCTTTATGAATAGGAAGGTTGGATGAGGCAGGAAGTGCCTGAAAGAGTCTAGATGGGAGGTAAAGAAATTTAATTATGATGAAAGGAGTAGAAAGTGGAAAAACAATGATCGACATTAAAGAGACCTATTGTCTTGGTAACATGATATGAGGAAAGGGTCTCAAGTTTCTGACTGCAGGAATCTAGTGTAGAGAAAGAATAGGGGGTATGTGTTTAGGAACAAGATGTCAAAGATGTATTGAGGATCACTTAGTTTGAGATCCCAGGTCACTAAGGGCAAGTGGTCTACAGGCGGGTAGAAATGTAAGTTTAGAGCAGGGGAGACTGATTTGGGTGGGAGCTGAAAGATTCCTAGGGCTTCCCTAGTGGCTCAGTGGTAAAGAATCCGCCAGCAATGCAGGAGACAAGGGTTCAATCCCTGGGCTGGGAAGATTCCCTGAAAAAGTATATGGCAACCCACTCCAGTATTCTTGGATAGAAAATCCCACCGGCAGAGGAGCCTGGTGGGCTACAGAGTCACAAGAGTCAGACACAATTTAGCAACTAAACAACAACAAAGGGATTCATAAGTGGTTAAAAGCAAATGAAACCATGGGATATTCCCAAGATTACTAAAGAGAGTGGAAAAAGACAGGTAAACGGAAGAGATGAGAGAGGGGACAGGCTGGTGCAGCCGGGGGCTGGACAGGGAATCAGACCAAGGACCTCTGGGAACACCAGTTTTTAAGTGTAGTTTACACAGAGCTCTTGATAGAGACAGACTCAGGAGAGACTAAAGGAAAATAACAGCAACTAGAAACAATGTCAAATTAGAGCTAAGTGAGAAAAAAGAGCTAATGTCTTTAGAAAAAATAGAGAAAATTCAGTTTGTTGTAAAGAATGTATTGGGTTGGCCAAAAAGTTCATTTAGTTAGGGAATATATTGGGCAATAAAGTTCTTGGTGAAATGAAAAATATGCCTTTTATCTGTACTTAAAACTGAATGAATATTTTGGCTAACAAAATACTTTTAATTTCTTTAAGAATTGTGTTCAAGAGTAGCCAAACTGGAGTAGATATTGGATATCTCTCTCCTCTTTAGAACTATTATTAAAAAACAACAATGTCATACAAACTATCTCAAAAATACTAATTGTTATATCATTTTAATGAGTTGATGATTAATTGTTGTGGTATTAACAATGTAATCTTAGGATAAAAGTATCTCATGGAACAAAATCTGAAGATCAACAAATTAGCAAGAAAATTACTATTTAGATTATGGTGCTATTCAGTATAGAGACTATATTTCTAAAAAAATTATATAAAAATGTATATAATCAAATGATTTATGTTATAAGAATGCATTATTCTGAGATGTTAAGAGAAGAGCATAATACTTGAGGGAAATGGTATATGTTTTACACTCCCTTTTAAGCTTTAAAACTGCTCTTAAAAGTTCTGATTGTTCTGCAAGAAAACACAACACAATAAAACATGTTTAACTTTGTATAACTTTGTTATGGAGCATTGTCCTACCACTACTAGTGTGAGAAATACTGCTTTATGGAATTTGCATCTTCTTAGTCATTTTGACTATTATTATCCTTTTTTACTTTAAAAATACATGTCATTTTCTCTTCCAATAGACTATACATAACAAAGGTTTCTTTATTAACTCTTCTTTTAAATATATTTGGGTCAAAATTATTTTCAGTGGGAATAAATATCCAGTAATATAATGCAAATGGAATATATAATTGAACCTTAAGAAATTCATTAAAGCTAAGTATTTCAAGTATAGTACTTCCAGTTCCTTAATGTGAATTAAAGGGACACAATTTGCATCAGTATAGGTAAGTATATCGTTCAGCCACTAGATGGTGATCACAGTAAATTTTTGTTGGCGATTTTCATATATGAAAATTCATTAGTCGTATGCTCTTCATCATAATATTTTTCAACTTACCTACTCGTTTAATTTGAAGACTGTATCCTGCTCTCTTGTTAATTTTTTGATACAGAAGGGAACAGACACTTTCCCAGATGAACAGAACATGATTTATAGCCAACACTTACTTCTTAGAAATGGTATAGTTTCTGTTCTAGTATAACCTAGGTACTTGGATATAGAGTGACTGGTGAATATAAGATAGATTATGTAGATAATTTGATAGCCACCAAAGTAAAATGTAGAGTAATGGTCAGATACAGTGAAATTATGACCCAGAGTTGTCAAAAATTTGGATTTAGCAGGCATTAAGCAGTAATGAGCATACAGGGGCTGTATGCTCAGATTCACATAACACACATACACATGAGGGAAAGAGGAAAAGGAAGCCCTAACTTCAGAAAGCACTGCAAAGACAAAGGCTACCTGAGCTCCATGGATCGTATGTCTGGAGCCAAGAGAACACCCTTGCCAGTATTCTGTGGATACCAGGGTTTCTTCTGCTCTTCCACAGCCTAACACTTGTTTCTATCTCAAAACATATACTTAAATATATATTTAAAGAAATAGCACTACACTTTATCATTTTCTAAATCATTAAAATGTATATGAATATAATCCTGATTAAAACTATTTCCTCAGTCAAAAGACTATTTAATTTTTAAAAAGTTACATACTGCCCACATACTTATGAGCATCCATTTTGCTGAGTACCTGAATACAGTATGAGTTTTCAGACTGACAAAAATATTTGCAGAACAACAAGCTCCTTAATCAGAACTTGAAGCCATTTGCCTCCACTATTCTGCACTTTTCCTGGCCTCTGTCCCATGAATGCCTCAGACCAGACCATCATGACCATGAGCTTCAGGACACAGTGTTCTTTCCTTTGACTAAGAAATTTCTCATTGTGCCAGTAAAACTTGATTTCCTCGGTGCTTCCCTCCAATACCCCATAGAAGTAGTTACTGTTTTCGTGCACTTACAACATTCATTTCATTCTTAAGTAAAAAGAATGCCATCAGTGTTTGTGTAATTTCCTTCCTTAGTTGCCTATAAATCCTATGAAAACAGGAATATGATTCTAATTAACATCTAGTAAACTACTTTAATGCCTCTGTAGGCATTAAATATTTATTTACTGAATCATTCAATTAATTAATTAGTTAATTTTAAAAGCAATCTTAACTATGAGGATGGTTTTCTGGAGAGGGGAGAGATTCTTTCTGAATTTTTAACCTACCTGGTACAAAACTGGAACTGTACTGAGGAGGGGCACCAGGCCTTGGATCAGGTGACTTTATTTGATTCTCCTTTTCATCTGCAGGTTTCTCAGGGGTTGTGGGGAGATCTTAGGGGTGAGAAAGGTGGTGCATGATTTACAGTGGAAATGATAATATGATTACAGAATATATTCATTTTTTCTGTTAATATGCATCAATGAATATGACCAATATTAAATACACTCATTTCTTATAAAAAGCAACTCAGTATGTATATTAGATATCAACCTATCAATACATTTTTAATTATTACCTCTCTTTGCAGACTTACTTTCCCACCTGCATTTTTCCTTTACCTAATTTTCCCCCACATACAATCAGAAATTTTTTCATTACCTATATGCCACTCTAAATCCCTTTTAATCCTTTTCTGTCAAAGATAAATAAGAATGTTCATATATATAAATGAATAAATAAATGTATATATGTATATATATTCTTCAAATATTAAACATGAATAAGTAATTCAAAAGGAAATAGAATCTAATTTTTTAAGGAAAGGAATCACACAATTCACAATTGAAAATACAGCATATTGAAATGTATTCACAAAAACTTACCTGACATTTTGAAGAATTCCAATTAAACCTGAAAACAAAACAAAACAAAAAAACAATTTTTACCTTATATATTTACATAGTTACTATTATTAATTAGTGATACAAGTAAGAAGTTCTGTGATTCTTTTAGTCTCTAGTTACCTTTCATTCATTCCTTCATTAATTCAACAAATATTTCCCTAACACCTATTTTCTACGTGGTGTTGAAAATGCAGCAGTAAACCAGATGCGCACTCTGCTAGAAATTATATTCCAGTGGGGTGGAACATGTCAACAAATATTTAAGATTAAATTTAGATAGTACGGTTATGAAGAAAACAAAGTTAAAGTAAGGAAAACATAGATGAGGAGCTCCCAGAGGGTCAGGGAAAGCCTCTCTCAGGAGGTGACCTTTCAGCTAGCTGAACTATGGGGAAGAGTTCCAGAGAGACAATTAAGTTAAATGAGAAGGCCCTGAGATAACAGTAAACTTGTGATACTCAAGGGACAGAAAGAGTTCAGGTGTGACAGGAATACAGGGAAAGAAGCGAACCAAGGTCAGAGGTGGAGATAGAGGTCTGATCATACCTAAAACTCATGGTAAAATGTTTGGAATCTGTTGTAATTGCAGTGGGGGTGTCTTCAGGAGACTTTAATCAGTGGAGTGATCAGATCGATTTAAACTTTATCTTGAGGGTGCAGGAGTGGAAGCAGTGGAGTAGGGATGGCAGCAGTAATCCATGTGAGAACTGATGCTGGTTTAGACTGGAGGTGACACAGAGAGGGTCAGATGTGGTCAGATGCATAAAAAGATTTGGGAGCAGAACCTACAGGAGTTGGTGATGGACTCAGTAAAGAGAAGAGTCAAGGATGAGTCTCATTTTCTAACCCAGGGTGTCTAAGTTGATGGTGATGCCAGTAACTCAACTAGAGAGGAAGATGGTGGGAAAATTGGGAACTGGGGAAGGTAGGAATCAAAAATTTAAATCAAGACATGTTGTGTTTAAGATGAGGCTAAAAGAAGACATGTTAAACATTTAAACAAAAACTATGTTAAAGAACATTATGAGAATAATTCAAAGAAGTAAAAATGTTGAGATAATATTTGAAACAAGAGGTGGGCTAGGAGAGAGATTCCATTAATTAAATCAATGGGAAAAGATTATTATTAAAGAAAGGAATTTCAATACTTCAGGTTTCTTAGTTCTATGTGATGACAAATAAAGAGAGAACATCATCAAAAGCTATACTGAATGCTTACCAAATGTCAGGAAAAGGCAGAGGACTTTTCATGTATTATCTCCAATTTGCATAGCAAAGGAAACTATAAACAAAATGAAAGGACAACCCACGAAATGGGAGAAAATATTTGCAAACAATGCAACCAATAAGAGGTTAATCTTCAAAATTTACAAATAGCTTGTGCAGCTCAATATTGAAAAAACAAACAACCCAGTCAAAAGTTGGGCAGAAGATGTAAACAGCCTTTCTCCAAAGAAGACATACAAATGGCCAACAGGCACATGAAAAAGATGCTCAACATCTCTAATTATTAGAGAAATGCAAATCAAAACTACAATGAGGTCTCACATCATACCAGTCAGAATGGCCATCATCAAAAAATCAACAAACAAATGTTGAAGAGGATGTATAGAAAAGGGAGCCCTCCAACGCTGTTGGTGGATATGTAAATTGGTGCAGCCACTATAGAGAAAAGTCTAGAGGTTCCTTAAAAAACTAAAAATGGGGCTACTATATGATACAGCAATTGCACTCCTAAGCATATAACTGGAGAAAAACATGCTACAAAAAGATACATGCACCCCAATGTTAACTGTAGCACTGTTTACAATAGCCAAGACATGGAAGAAGCCTAAATGTCCATCAGCAGAGGAATGGATAGAGATGTGGTGTATATATACACACAATGGAGTATTATTCAGTCATTAAAAAGAATGACATAATGCCCTTTGCAGCAACACAGATGGATCTGGAGATTATCATACTAAATGAAGTAAGTCAAGCAGAGAAAGACAAATATTACATGATACCACTTTTATGTCAACTCTAAAAATATGATATAACAAACACGTACAAAACAGAGATACAGACTTAGAGAACAAACTTATGGTAACCACAGGGGAAAGGTTGGGGGAGGAATAGACTGGGCATTTGGGAATGACATTGTACACACTGCTATATTTAAAATAGCTAATCAACAAAGACCTACTGTTAGGTAGGCACAGAGAACTCTGTTTTTTCTGTAGTATCATAAATGAGAAAAGAATTTGAAAAAGAATAGATACAGGTACATGTGTAACTAAATCACTCTGCTCTACAGCTGAAACTAACACAACATTGTTGATCAACTATACTCTAATATATAAGAAAAATTGAAAACAAAAAATAAATAAAACAGTATAATAGAGGAAGAAACAAACAAAAACCATCTAATACATAAATGGAAAATGTTGCTAAACTTAAGTACTTTGAAGTACTTTCCATGTTCTTTCCAACGAATCATCTTGCTTATCAGAGTGCAGAATGTGGTCATTTGTGTTGTTCAAGTAGAGTAGAAAGTTACCGATACAGAATAGATATGTCAAAGAAGCACTGGAACACTGTATGAGCGAGTAGTCAATATGGATACTGAGTTGACCCAGTGAGTGTCACCACTGCATAAGCCAGTATGTAGATTCTAGGCTCTTGCCAAGCCTGGCCCACCAGTCTTGGCCCAGTTCCTCTCCTTCTCTGGAGCTGGAGTTAATTGTGTCTTAAAAGTAAAAGTGAAAATATTAGTCACTCAGTAGTGTCTGTCTCTTGATGACCTCACGGACTATAGTTGGCCAGGCTCTTCTGTCCATGGAATTCTCCAGGCATGAATACTGGAGTGGGCAGCCATTCCCTTCTCCAGAGGATCTTCCCAACCCAGGGACTGAACCCATGTCTCCTGCATCACAGATGGATCCTTTACTGTCTGAGCAACTAGGGAAGCCATGAAATTAAAGATGTTTGCTCCTTAGAAGAAAAGCTATGACAAACCTAGACACAGTACTAAAAAGCAGACATCACTTTGCTGACAAGGGTCCGTCTAGTCAAAGCTATGATTTTTCCAGTAGTCACATACAGATGTGAGAGTTGAACCATAAAGAAGGCTGAGTGCCAAAGAAGTGATTCTTTTGAAATGTGGCACTGGAGAAGAGTCTTCAGAATCCCTTGGAGTGCAAGGAGAGATAAAACCAGTCAATCCTAAAGGCAATCAACACTGAATATTCATTGGAAGGGCTGAAGCTGAAGTTTCAATACTTTAGACACCTGATGAGAAGAGTCAACTCATTGGAAAAGACTATGATGCTGGGAAAGATTGACGGCAGGAGAATGGGGCAACAGAGGATGAGATGGTTGGATTGCATCACTGACTCAATGGACGTGAATCTGAGCAAACTCCAGGATATAGTGAAGGACAGGGAAGCCTGGCATGCTGCAGTCCATGCGGTCACAAAGAGTTGGACAAGTGTTAGTGACTGAACAACAACAAAAGTAAAAACTTTCCTGGTACACACTGCAAATACAGACTCAACTACAGGTCAATCAAGAATTCTAGGAATTGGTCCTATTCCTTTAATGGTGGTAATATCTGGTGTTTAGGAAAATGCCCATACCTTTCTAGAACCTTAAATTCTGGACATTCCTAGGATTGTACCCTCAACTGACTGCACAAGTACACACAGATACACATGAGAATGTTCTTGACATACTACATATCAAAAGAAACTGAAAACATTCCCAATTTCCATCAGTTGTACACTGGATAAATAAAATCTGGTATATTCATAAAGTATAACAGTATACTGTAGAGAAAACAAATTACAGTTATACTCATCATGTGTGCATGCATACTCAGCCACTAAGTCATGTCCAACTGTTTTCAACCCCTTTAACTGTAGCCCACCAGGCTCCTCTGTCCATGAGATTGCCATTTCCTCCTCCAGGGGATTTTCCTGACCCAGGGATCTAACCTGCATCTCCTGCATTGACAGGTGGACTCTTTACAACTGAGCCAACTGGGAAGTCCTGCCATGCCCATCAATACTGATATATCTCAAAATTACAACACAAAAAAACAAAATAAGTCATAGGAGAACACATATGAATCCATTTAAGAATATTCAAAAGCAGGAAAATGAAACAAAAACTTTTTTCTGATACATGTATGGGAGAAAACTTAAGAAAAGTTAGGGAATTATTAACACAAAATTCAGGAAAATGGTTACATATGGAGGAGAAGTGATGTAGGACAAGTGTTAAGCTCTGATCCTCAAAGGGCCAGAACTTCCTGCTAATGTTCTAGTTCTAACAGGGTGGTATGAACAGGGGTGATGGGTTATAACTAGTTTTAAAAGAGTATATGTATGTTTAAATTTGCATATTTGTATGTATGACATTATTCACAATAAAAAGGACTTCTTTTTTATTGTGACGAACTATGTGACAGGTATATGTTGAGTGTAAGTTTCTAACTAAACATAGGTTGTTCCTTTCTATATTAAGCCTGGGGATTGCTGTCAAAGATAAATGACAGAAAGTAACTAGAACAGATTATTGAGTGCCTTAGTGAAAAGGGGCTAAATTATCTAGATATCTATCCAACTGCCTATTCATCCATCCATCCATCCATCCATCCATCTATCCATCCATCCGTCTATAGTGACAAACAGTACATAGCATAGTACAAAATGACAAATGTTAACAACTGCTAAAGCTAAGTGAAGATAGAAATTTGAATAATTACAAAAATAACTTAAAGGATAGAAATTCCCTGGTTGTCCAGTGGTTAGGACTTCATGCTTTCATGGCCAAGCATGTGGACAGGGAAGGAAGGTCCCATAAGCGGAGTGGTGCAGCCAAAATAAACAAAATTTGTGGAAAAAAAAAACTTGAAGGAAAATTATGCAATTCTGGATGCCAAAAGCGAGGCAGAACCTCTGGGGTGCGGGCCTGGAAAACTCTACTTTTAACACAAGGCAAGGAGATCCAGCCAGTCCATCC